AGGGCCAATATTTTTTGATTTTGCTAATTTTATCAAACTGGTATTAGAAATTAAACGACGATTTTGATTTTTAAATTTTAAGATTAATGAATTAAAAGAAATTTTGGATTATATTGTTTTTATATGTCATTAAAACTAAATTTAAAAAAAAACAAATATTATGGGGGAAATAAGTAATTATAATGTAAGGTGTCTGTTTGAGTACTTCCCGGGGCCTGAGATTAGTTCAATTACACTCCACTACGAAAATTGGTGTTTTAAAAGAATATTTGTCCTGTCCTCTTCATGTAAGTTCGTCCTCTTTTAATTTTTCTAAAATATTATAGTAAAAGTTGTTATGTATTGTTCTAATTAACTTTTAAGTATCAGGAAATAGTTTTTAATATCTATAATTCATTTTAATTGTTTAATTAATCAAATCTTGTTAACATTTACTGGCTTACCATGTTCAAGAAGAGGTAGAGAAGAATTATCGCGGTAACTGAAGAATTCACCAACATTAGAATCTTTTTGCTGAGAAATGAAAAAGACGGATATTGTTTTTTCTTTAATGGTTAATGAGTGAATGGACATTTTATAAAGAAAATTTTTATAAGTATTTTCTTGTTTATCCAATTTAATTTGGCTACATAAAATTTTAATAATAACTTTATAAGGATTTTGTTTTTTATTTAGATTTAATTGTTAATGGCCATTAAAATTCAAAAAATAATATTTTTTTTAAATTCAGGAGGTCATTTGTAGGGGACAAAATTTTATCAAGAAGTCAATTTGGGGGCCAGGGAATTTTTTTTGGAGGGGTGGCTTCTCTTCTTCGGGGCTCCACCTTGCTATGGGCCTGTGGGCACTTGATGGCAGAGTGGTTGTTATATTAAATAAATAACAACTTTATACCCATCACTCATTTTAAAAAAAATATTCAAAATTTGATGAGTTTCAAAACGTTTATATCATCTATGAAGTGTAAAAAAATCTATTACTAAATTATTTCTAGAGATTGTCTAGAAATATTAATCTAAAAATTATGATATATATATTTTTCAATTGTTTATAAATAAAATAAAATAAAAAATTAACCATTGTCGCTTCCATTTAGTGTTGTTAAACGGCTAATTTTGACTTATAATAATAATTAAATATTTAAATTAAAGGTAAACTTTGATACTTTTATTTTTCATATTATATTGCAAAATAGAAATGAGCTAAGGAAAATAGATAAAGATCAGCAAAATTCTATAATTTAGCGTCTACATGAGCGGAGGAAGTGGGGGGGGGGGAAGGGTAGGAATAGTTTGCATCCAATTTTTTTTTGGTGGGGGGGGGGGAATATTAAGATAAATTTTTGGGAGGATATCTATTAAATTTTAAGATGAAATAGGAAAAAATATATTGCTGTAAAAATTAATACCCTTATTATGGACTAATACATTAATATTGCTGATCATCGACCAAATCTATATATTGCAAACAATCATAGACATTATTTTCCAAATAAAACTTTCTGCTATTTTTAAATTGCATTTAAAAGTTTAGACATTTTCAGCAGGCTCATAATGCCATAATGCTTTTATTGTAAATGAAGGGTTTTTAATTGAATTCGTTATCTAAAAAATAATTCTTTTACACAAAATTTTGATAGTTGGTAGTAGAAATTAAATAATTTAAATTCTTTTTAAAATTTATGAAAGGAGTATCAATATAATTAAAAAGGTGTAATTAATAATGGGAAAACATTGCCGCCGAATGGGGGGGGCATAAGTTTTTAAGGGGGTTTGCAACCAGTGAAAATCCTTCAAGTAGACGCTGTTTGAACCTATAAATAATATAGAGTATTTATTGAAACCTTGAACGATGCTGTTAAATTTAAATCATTAACTGAATATATACTTACTAAACTTATTTATATTTAGAATCAACTATATTTATTTGTGTTTTTAGGAATTATATCCAACCTCAACTTTACTACTTTTTATAAAACGCTAAATCCTGATTTCCAAATCTTTGAAGCTGGGTATAAAGTGGCTGTCAATATGATCCCTAAAAAGTTCGAAGCGAGATAATTTAAAATATAAATTGCTAAAGATTTTCTATGATTTGAAATTTTAGGTAAAATTTTATGAAAAATCCTGTTTGAGCATTTACAAAATATCTTATTTTATATGTCATTGGATTTTTATTAATTATAAAATTTCCGAAAAATTAGCAAATACAATTTAATTTTCAAGCCTCTGTATACAATATTATGAATTATAATTAATGTAAATGAACCAAATTATACAATAGATTATATAGAAAATACTCTTTTATACGATAAATAGGAAGCGATTATAATAGTGATAGTTGTAGTAAATTAGAAATTATATTTATAATTGAGTAATTTTATTTATATTTTTAATATTGATATAAGGAAAATATATATATACATGTTTGTGTATAATATAATATAATATAATATAATATAATATAATATAATATAATATAATATAATATAATATAATATAATATAATATAATATAATATAATATAATATAATATAATATAATATAATATAATATAATATAATATAATATAATATAATATAATATAATATAATATAATATAATATAATATAATATAATATAATATAATATAATATAATATAATATAATATAATATAATATAATATAATATAATATAATATAATATAATATAATATAATATAATATAATATAATATAATATAATATATAATATAATATAATATAATATAATATAATATAATATAATATAATATAATATAATATAATATAATATAATATAATATAATATAATATAATATAATATATATATATAATATAATATAATATAATATAATATAATATAATATAATATAATATAATATAATATAATATAATATATAATATAATATAATATAATATAATATAATATAATATATATATAATATAAATATAATATAATATAATATAATATAATATAATATAATATAATATAATATAATATAATATAATATAATATAATATAATATAATATAATATAATATAATATAATATAATATAATATAATATAATATAATATAATATAATATAATATAATATAATATAATATAATATAATATAATATAATATAATATAATATAATATAATATAATATAATATAATATAATATAATATAATATAATATAATATAATATAATATAATATAATATAATATAATATAATATAATATAATATAATATAATATAATATAATATAATATAATATAATATAATATAATATAATATAATATAATATAATATAATATAATATAATATAATATAGAATTATTATATCCGTTAATTACACATATTTTATAATAATTTTATTTATGTGTGTGATATAATATCGAATGAAAGTTAATTACCTGACGCTCATAATTAGCATTATCCATTTTGTAAATTGTTTGTTTACTACGATTTTATGTAAGGACGAATAAAATGAATGAATATATATATAATATGATATAGTATATCTTATTATAAATGATTAAAATTTTGTATTAGTGTAATATGGAAAAAATAACTGTCAATAAATTTAAGTTATATAAACATAAAAAAAATAGGTAAGAGTTGTACCATAATAAAAATGATTATAATTTTATATTGTTATAATATAGAAAGAAAATATTTTCACTAATTGTAAGTTATATAAAGTGATAAAAAAAAGTGGATAAGAGATTTACTGTAATAATATAGGCAGAATTTCTTAAATGATTAGTAGTATTAGAAACTATCATTATATATAGCTCTTTTGTATTATTGATACTATCGCATTAGTTGTGTGATATACATTGTTTTTGAATGGGCATATACCATTTAAACTAAACAAAACTATAACCAAATCGTGCATTATTTTGTATTAAGAAAATATTTGACAAGTTAAATATTTTCCAAACTAAATTTTTACAAATCAAACAACTGTATATATTTTTATACTAAGGATATATTTGATTAGTTAAAAGTAAAAAAAACTGTGGTGTGATATCAATTAGAGTATCACAAGTGCTTATCACCGACAAACTTTGAGTGGAGAAAGTAAAATTGATCAAAAATTATTATTTAGTATAGCAAATTTGTTGATGGCCCTGCCCTATATCATGACTATTATCTATATCATCGATCATTCTTCTATTTGCAGGTATATTATTTGTATTTATTAATTTTTGCTACGAGTATATAAAATGAAAATTTTATAAATTATTCTATACATTTTTGCTTTTTTCTAAGATGACTAGAATGTTAATGTCACCATCATCGATATGTATAAAAAATTTTCTAATATCGATAATTTATAATAAGTAAAAAAAAATTAAAATTTTTTAACTGTAAATTTGAAAATGGTAGATAAAAATTATACTAAAAAAAAATTTGAAATAGAAATTAATTAATAGAATAAATTAATAGATGAATGTGATTAATAAATCCAATAGGAATAACTATGAGTAAATATAGACAATAAAATTTTTGTATTTTTTGCTCCCAGTGCTGACCATAATTCGGTTAGTCTGTTGATATAAATCAATTTATCTCAATGCTAAAAAGGAAAGTATAATTAAAAAGCAGTTTTAAATATATTAAAAATATAAATAAAACAAGAGCAAAATATTGAAAATTGGATTAATGAGGATCGGCCTCCCTTTATTTATAGGCTTCTTTATTTATTCCGTTGGCCGAAATATCCATATTTTTCGTGGCCGTGAGTAAAATGGTCATTTAAATTATTACCCTGTCTGTTATATGCAATAAAATTTTATTTTTGAATTATCTTTCATGGGTATCAAAATAATTTGACTGGTTTAGCATTAGCAATTTTTAAAGGGGGCTAATAGATTCATTTAATCATATGCTCCAATGTTAAAATATTCAAATATTAATTCATTATTAAAACAAGTTTATAAAATATATAAAATAGAAATTAAAGGTGATTATATATTTATAACAGTATATAGTTTTTAAACATATTAGAATTAAATTCTAGGATTAAAGAGCTTACATATCAAAACAACTCACTTAAAACCCAATTAAAGTATTTAATACTTTTATTTCAGATATATTTGAAAATTATTTATTTATTATACTATTTTTTCAAATCTAGATGTTAATGAGAAACTTATAAATATATTTAAAATGTATACTAATAAATCTTATGCCATTCAATTAGTGTGCCAGAAGCCTATAAGATATTTATTTTCAACAAATTTTCACATTAATTTTTTTTTTATTCTAACAATATATATCTATCAAACTTAAATTTATAATGATTAAAAACTAAAAGTTACTACTGGCAATTTATTATCCAAATCTTAATTTATGATTTACAGATCTGAAATAGTGATTACCTTTTTTTTCAATAAGTATAATATAATGATTAAATAAAGTTACTTTACTGATATCTGATTAAAATTATTTTAAACTTCTTTCATTGAGTATAATGTAATGATTGAATAAAGGTATTCATATTTGTTTAAATTTTTTTTGCAAGTTAAACACTAATATTTTAATCTTAGTTGTTTATACTTTTATTCGAAAATGTTTGTAATCATTTTCACATAACAAGGTTTTATAGAGAACTTTATTGAATTATTAACCTATTTGAAATATTGTTTTTACTTTATATACTCAATTTAATAGAAAATAGACAAATTATTAATTAATTAGATAAGAAATAATCTTCATGTTAAATTAGATAAGGAATTATAAAAATATAAATAAAAAGATTTTTTTTTAAGATTAATATAAATATATATGTATAAAAAACAGATTAAAAGGAAAAAAACCGTTATAAATTATAAATAGAACCAATACTAATTTCTTCAAAACAAAACTGAAATGGAACAAAATCTTTATAAAATTTTTAACTAAAAACTGAAATGAACCAAATCACTCATAACAATTCGATATCCTGGTGAATATGAGTATTTCAGATAAGATATTTTAACTACTTCTTATTTGATACATTCTCTTGACAATAAATTTACTGAACCTCCTAAAATATAGACCCACACTTAGTGATTATTATTGTTGCAATCAAACAATTATTTAATTACCTTTTATTTCATAACCATACAAATTTTTATTTTTTAACACCACCACCCACCACAAATATTTTTATTTCAGTTAAGATATTTAAATAGCATTTATTTGATAACCATATAATATCGATTCAGTATTGATAAAAAAAATTTAAACCCCCTTCCCTCCCCCTCCAAGCCGCTAGGACGCTAGACCCACCCATTTATAGCTAGAATTAAATGTTTGATATTGCTAATTTTAATATTTTAGCCAAAATAAAATTATGAAGCTTCAAGATTTCATTAATAGGTATCCAAACCTTTCTGCCATCTATAAACAAATCTTCAGGCTTGCATATTTTTTAAGCAAAACTACTTATACAATCAAGCAATTATTATTTAATAACCAAATTGAATTTTTATTTTTTTAACACCCCCCCCCCTTCCCTACCACCATTTCTCTAACACAAATCAAGTTTAACCTACTAAGACCAAGAATGAATACTTTGTTAAATATATTTAAATTATCTTTTATTTAATACCCATATCGATATTTTATATTGATAAAAATATTCCTAGCACCTAAAGTCCTTAATTCGCCCATTAAGAGGGAGTTGCTCCAATTGGATAGATCTTTTGATTAGCTGTCGATGATATCTATATTTTATGATCGCTTATGTTTTATTGGTATAATGCCAGGCTTAATCTCTGTGCAATTTAAATATTAATATAATTTAAGTATTTTTGAAACATATTATATTAGTTATATAATTTTACCTTAAATACCTCGTCGAATATATAATTTTACTATATCAATTTCACTTCAATTATCACTCTATCATGGAATTTCTCCAAATCCAATCTTTATTCAGTATAATACCACTAATAACCATAATCTAATAAAAATCAAGTTAATCCAATATATATTAAAAAATCCATGAAATTATTAATGATTCAATTAAAATTTCATTCGACGAAAATAAATTTTGAACCAATCCCAATTTTTTGCAAGAAGCAAAAAATCGTAAAACAAAAGAATCTTGTAACATAATTCTCAAAAAACACCAAATCAATGTTTATTTATATAAAAATATTTCGGAAAATCCAAGTGAAAGGAACAACATTTTTTCCTTTCTTAAATTAATTATGATAAATAAAAAAAATCCATTAAAACAAATGCTAAGTTCATTTTCTCTTCATGACAACAATTATTATTATGAGTGAAATTTATCTATTTTAATTAAGCAAACATAACAATATTAACGAATATTCATTATATCAAGAGAAAAAAAACTTATAAAATAAATGGGTATTTGCTCGGAGTTGCTTAAGGTTTATGCTCCAGGTTCATGATCGGGGTAGAGCAGACCTGAGAACCAAATTTGGTCATAAATTTTACCACCAGCCAAATTAACAACATATCTTATACCAATATTCATACAATATTATTTATTTTCTATTATGACTTTATATTAATCTGCTAACTTAGTTGTCATGTGTGAAAAAATTATTAAAAAAAATAGTAAATGAATAATGAGAAAAATTTTGAAAATTTGGAGCTAATATAACTATTTCGAAATATTGGTTTTATATAAAAACAATGTTTTAAAAAAATTTAATATTAAAATTTCTCCTTAATTATCATTTATTGATTTGGTTTTAATATCAGATTCAATATTCTAACTAATTTTCTTGGGCATATTTTAAAAAAAATACGACCCGGCCTGTTTATCCGGGCTTAGGGCCAGGCCTGCAATATTAATATTTCAATAATATTTAGTATACCAATATTTATCCAAAATTATTTATTTCCCATCTTATGACTTTATATTAATCCTCTAGCTTAGTTGTTTTTTCTCCACCAATGCTAATTATTAAAAAAATTATTAGAAATAAGAAATAATAGAAAAATTGAAGCTCATAACTATTTCTAAAAATTAATTTTATTTTCTACTATATATAATATAACCAATATTTAAAAATATGTAATTTTGAAATTTCCCCTTAATTATCAATTATTTATTGACTTGGTTTATTAATATAAGATTCAATATTCCAATTAATTTAGTTTTCAATTAAAAACTAATTATTTAACATCAATAAAAAGTTTAAAAACCCGATTTTTTGTTTCTTATTCCTAATATCTTAGGAAATATAATTACTAATGAGCTAGAATTTCGTTTATATTACTAGAACATATAAAACATGCCTACAAATTTTTATCGAAATTTAAAGGGGTCGGCCGAAAAGTGTTTGGTTTGACATGGAGTGACCCTAAACCACTTAGTGAAAATTAATATAATTCAATATCCAACTTTAGGTTTTTATAACCATAAAATAAATAGAGAATTCTTGAAAGGAAACTTTTTTATGTGATGATGGCTTCCTTTGATATTAAAAATAGACATTTTAGTAAAAAAAACACTAAAAATTTATTAATAGCCTCACCATATCATATCGACTGTAACTTTATAGGCTACACTTAGTTTAGGTAAAATTAAGCAACAAATTATATTTTGTTATTAAATAAATATTAATATATACCCAGATCTGATGGACTAATCTTAGCCAAGATCCTAAATCAAAGGCATACTTATGGCTCAAAGTCAGCCCTAGGTTATTAATTTGATTTTACATATGGGAAGGGGAACTCAACGCTTAACTTCAAACTCTTTTCTTTTTGGAAATAAATGTTTTTCTTCCTTATACCCAATTGGTTTATTAGTTTATACCATAAATATTAAAAAGATTAAATGGGGATGATAATAATGAGAACAATGAGTTCTTAAATCAAACAAATTTAAAAAAGGAAATGGCGAAAAGTAATTTCCAGTCATATGATGTGGAAAACAAAGTTAAGGATCAATCTTTTTATCTTACAAAAGATAAAAATTGTGATGACAAATCACCAAAAAAGCCAATCTCCGCCAATATTTGTTACAATTTAGTAGACGACCTAAATGGATCTCAGGATTTATCACCACAATCTATATCATTAGATGTTGATATCGTGACTTCTTCTACTAAACTGCCCCCGGAACAAATGAGTCAAAAATCACAATTCATTTTTACCGGTAACCATAATGGAATGATACAAAATGATTTAGATTGTTTGCCTAAAAATGACCAAGATCCACTTTTGCTTGACACGGTCGATGACTTGTTACAAAATGATAAACATATCTTAAATAAAAGCGAAATTATTACTCTTTGGAACCAGCGTGAATCTAGTCCTATTTTGACTACATTTAATGATAAATATTCGAATAAAAGTAAAATAATCACCAGAAAAAATCATAATGAATTGGACATTATTCTTAAGAAATGGCAAACTGTGCCCATTCATTTAGAAACAAAGGTGATAAATCCTCCTTTACATAATTATTACGAATGCCAATTTCAAAAAAATAATTTTTCGCCTCAGCACACTAGATTATATCACGATGCTGAAGACGGGGAACCAGAAATTTCTGAAGATATAAAAAAATATGATGATAATATTCAGGGAGAGGATTATATGTTGGGGGTGTTTGCTAAGCCGAATAAAAATGATGATGAAGGCTTTATATCGAAACAAAATCAAATAAAGAGGCAAAATGGCAGCCATGATTACAAAGCGACAAAGAAAAAAGATACCAAATGCGATTCATCTTCATCACGATTAGATTTAAAAAGATCAAAAAAGCTCTCTCTATCTCAATGTTATCGACAAACTAAGGTTCCCCAATATTATGGCAATCATCGTAATAGGCACAGTTTTATCGATGAAGAATTGAGCATTAAGGAAGACAGTAATATTAATAAAGAGAATGTTATCTTTTTGAAAATGGATCATGGTTACAATAATATTCGAAAGGCACTCCAATTCAATTATTCGGACAAAATGTTAGACATTTTAAATTTCGAGAAAAATAAAATCAACTCAGATAAAGAAGGGGCAAATATTGCTAGTGTTAATACATATGATGATAAAGTAAAGGAAGAAGCTATTAACCAATCATCATACTCTGTGAGAAAAGATAATCAATGTACAAATTGCCCCAATAAATTTGAGTTCGACAATCGAGAAGACGAAAAAGGTAATTTTGATTATTATCATTACATTGCTGTCAGGGTATTAACTCAAAATAAATAATAAATATTTTAACATTTTTTTAGAAAAATGCCTGAATAAAACATTAAATAATTTAAAATAATATTATTTATTTGGGAATTTAACACCCAATGCACACATTATTGTAAAACATTATTTATATATTAAATTAGTCAAAAGATCAGCTTACCAAGAAACAAGAATAGCTCTTGCTGTAATGGATCCTAATGATAGTTTTGACGTGTTAGTTTTAAAAGAAAATTATTTCAATTCAAGAATATACATCTTATTTAAAAAAAAATTTAAATGATGAATTTTAAATTATGTTTTATCTCAGTGATAATTATATACTCTTAATTTTTTTCATTTCTAGCCCCCCTATGAAAACCTTACCAAAATACAAATTCATTGACGAGGACAGAATTCGCAAAAATTCACAAAAAGCTAAATTTAACTCATATGCATGCAATGAATGCAAGGAAGTATATATATATATTTAACTAATTTTTGTATCTAGGAACTTATTTCAAAACAATTAATGTGTCTATTTATTTATAGTGTTTTATACACACTATGTATTTAGAGACCTAGAAAAAAAAAATTTGGCCCGAGCCCGCCTCACTGATGGCAATTTTTTTAAAGATCTAACCCCGACCCAGACCTGTTGTTTGCCACGGCCCGATTTTTAAAAACTTATTAAGAAGAAATCTCATTCAAAATATTTATTTTATTTTCTATTTTAATTATATTTAAATATTCAGCAATACTTGATTTTAATTTTATTCTATTTATTACAAAATGTCACAGTTGTTAAAAGATATTTTTCAAAAGGATCTAGATTAGATACATCTTCCAAAAATTGATCTAGATACAGATATATTGTCTAAAACATATCAGATATAGATACAATTTTTTTTTATTATACTTATATAAGCTATGCATAATAATACATAATTTAGGCCTCTATCTTTAAAATTCAAATTTTGAAGTGAGTTAAAAAATTTCTTGAGCTGATATTGTATCTATAAACAAATATATAATTATAATAATGATTGTTAGACATCAATAATTCATATTCAAAATATATAATTAAATGATTATAAATAATTGTTAAATTTTAATAATAAAATATTCTCAAAATTTCTATCATTAAAGCACCCCGTTTATTTGTTAAGCCAAACTAAACTCATTATACCGGGGCACTTGACTGCAGAGTAGTTGTTATATTTAATGAATACAACTTTATATTCGTATAATCATTAAATATATTAAAATCCCGATAGTTATTTTAAAATAAATTATTTAAAATTTGATTGGGTGCCCAAAAAAATCTAATACTTAAAAAATATTGATCTAAAAATTATGATATATCTTTCATTGTAATATATTTATCATGGTGTCGTCATCCATTGCGTAAAATAAAATTTATCTGTTTTTGTTATGAATTAAACTCGGACATAATGAATTTAATTCAAAATTTGTTTTAATATAAAAATACGTAAAATAAAATAATATCAAAATTTATCTAAAAATAGATACAGATACCTATATAATAGTAGCGAAATACAGATTTTATAAAAAAAATGTGTATAGTATAGATACAGATACCAAAATTTTGTATTTAGATAATAGATATTTTAATAACTGCAAAATATGATATAAAAATAAATAGTAAATACTTCCTGCTTCGGGTTGGGACTATGGTTTATTAATCATGATAACCGGGACCCCACCTTGCAGGACTCGAAAGCTATTATTATATAAGTCTCTTTTTACAATTTTCTTAATGAGTTTAGATTTTGAATAAAATGTATAAATGTTGTTATTATTTTAATATTTTGCAGTATTACCAATTCAAAGTAAACAATAACAACGATGTCATCGTTCATGATGAATTCCATGACCAAATTGCATATCAATACGAAAATTTTGAAAACTTTTTAAAAAAGAATGGATGCAAGCATAGGAGTAGATACTTAGCTCCATCAACTCCTGAACATTTTTGGTCAATTGGAATGCCTAGTACACAAGAATGTAAGAAAAGAGGTTAGTTTTCATAACATTTGACCTATTATCTTATTTTAATAATAGTTGCATTAAATAATCTTGGATTACCATTTAAATATAAGGAGGCCACTCGCTTAAAATGATCTGGGATTATTTAATAATAAACTGAGTCTCTATAAGGAAGCCACTCGCATAAAATGATCACTTGTTCCACCAGAAATTCTATTAAACCTTTATGGAAAACCTATTTATTTTTAAAAGAAATATGTACACTAATTAGGTCTGCTCGATCCACAATATTTTCTGAACCCTATCCGATATTTATTTCAAACATCACCTGTACCAATATTTACATTGATTTTTTTTACCATTATTTTATATAATGTATAAATGTTTTAAAAAGGTGTTTTAATCTGATTAATAACTTATCCCGGCCGTTAAAAATATAAAAAAAAGTCTCAAAGCTTTAAATTTTAAAAATATATCTTATCTTTAAATTTAATAGATTCAGCTTTGTAATTATAAGATATATAGTAAATAATGCCTTATTTTATTAAGTGATAGTCCTTAAAGAATAATCATATTATTTTTTGTGATCAGAATTAAGTATAAATTTATATGCTAGCACACTATTTATTATTAAATTTTATGTATAACAAACTAAAGTATAAACAAATTAAATATCAATTAATAAAATAATATAATAATGAAATATAAAATAACTAATAATAAAAATTATAATATTCGATATTTTTTTTATAAAGATTAGAGAATAAATTTAAATTCCAGATTTCTGACATAATAGAAAAAATTAAAAGATTTAAAAAATAAAATAATATATTACAATAAAGTTATACCAACGCTAATAATATAAATTTACATGATTTTAATTTCTTCCTAACAATGGAATAAACAACAATTTTGGGTAATTTTTTATATATCAGTTTATTAATATACTCTACATCAGATCTTCAAATCCCGGCGAGAAAAAGTAATTTCTCTTCTATATAGGTCGGGCTTAATATTTAAAAAAAAAATTTGAGTCGGACTGGGTCGGGCTTTTCTATGATACTCAATTTTGGGAAATAAATTGATATATTTTAAAATTCTTGCAAGAAACAAAGCGCTAATAATTTTTTGTAGACAATTTATTATACAATTTAAAATTTTTTTTTTCTATATTTAAATATATCGGGCCGGGTCTGTCGGGCAAATAATTTTTTATTTTATTTCGGGACAAACAAATAAAAAATTTGTTCGGAATCGGGATGGGCAGGACAAATTTTTTAATAATTTCGGGCCGGGTCGGTCTTGAGACTACTTCTATCGTTAAAAATGTAAAAAACATTTTAATTTTATAAGTGGCGCCTTCCTTGACTATTTTTTATGTTATGAAGATATTTTACGAGAAAAGGAAATTAGTTCAATAATAAATAAAAAATGTAAACGAAAATTAAATAAAAATGTGCATAAAAAAAATATGTATGAAATCGGTGCCGGTAACATGTTTAAAAAATAGCGGCTGATGCGATTTTTTTAAAGTCTAATATCGCCAACACCGATATTTAATATCGATATAGCTCTAATACCAATATATCTATGTGACTAGCTCGTTCGTCGTCTGTTGAAATTCAAGAAATATGGCTGAAAAATAAATTTAAAACATGTCTTTTCCTTAGGAAGTTTTGGCTAACTAAAATCGACGCTATTGTAATCGAAATGTATACTTTTTTTTGCATTTTAAAAGCAAGATATCAATATAAAGCAATATGTGTTTTATGCCTATAGTTTATCAATAATTGAGCTTCTGAGATGGAGGGGGGGGGGTGGGTGAAGCTTCATACGAGATACTAAATGGATCTTCTAAATAGCTAAAATAAAAATTAGTAAATATTGTTAATACTTCTTATTCAGTTTTAAATATTTTACATGACTTGTTAAAAGATTATCTTAAAAATATAGGAAATATGATTTTTTAGGGAATATGTAGAAAATCTCCCCCATTTTTAGCGATTTATAAAAAACTGAATTTAAATATAGGTAATCTTCCCAGTCATGTTGTTAGCTATGGGTAGTGTTACTGGGTTTCCTAAAATGGGAAAAGGTTCAACCTAAAAAGGAAAAGTGTCAATAAAATAAGGAAAAGTATCATGTCGGATCAAAGAGGGAATAGTCTCTCAAAAAAGGATAATTCCCATTCAAAAGAATTATTTGTTGTTTGTACTGATATATCATTTTTCTTTAATTTTTGATTTTCTTTTTTTTCTATATTTTTGCATTTTTTAAATTTATGTCATTTTAAATCTATTTTTGTCATATTTTTTTTTCTTCTCATTTTTTAAATAATTTCTTATTATTTTTTGTCATATTCATTTCCCCCTTTTCATCTTTACCTCATTATAATTGTGGAATTAAATTACATTCCATCATTATAGTGCAGTAAAATCTAGTGAGAGACGAGGACATTACAATAAAATATCTACCGCTATATATCCATCCAACATTTGAATTCAATGGAGAATATGTTTTTTAATGTATTTATATAGAATAAATTTTATTTAGCAAAAGTTATTTTAAATAAATAATTATAGTGTTTATAAAAATTAAGTAAAGAAATAATTTTTTAAGATAAGTTTTTTCAGCGTCTTCACCGATCGCCGATAGTTTTAATGCAAAACGCCGCCAATTTTTTATTCTCTCTTCTATTTCACATATATTTTTAATATTTTTGATCAGATGGGCGATTAAATTTTTGAAAGAATCATAATTTAAAATATATGAAAAAGTAGTATTTAGGATAAAAACTTGTTTTTGAATAAACTTGTTTTTGAATATAAATATATACAAAATTAAAGTTTTTTGTTTAGAAATTTGTAAGTATCTATATTTTTATGTTAAATATATTTTTATTTCTAGGCTATTTAAATGACACTTTAAAGCACTCTGATTTGCAGGCTCTAGAAAAAAAAGAGGGACAATCAAATTTTTATCATTATAATATATGAGATTTACAGAAATTTAATTTGTCATATTATTTATAAATAAAATTGTTCATTTTTTTGTATAGTATAGTATAGTATTTATTGGTATTAAAATGTATATTATGTACAATACAAATCATATTTGATGAGCTACTGATTATAATCTGTTTGGCCAAATAATGATTAAGTATCATATTTACGCGTCAAACGAATCTAATAATAAGATTGTGATATTTGAATTAGTACAAATCAAATAAAGGAAAATTCGAATTCATACAAATCAAATATTGAGATATTCAAATTTGTACATATAAAATAATGAGATATTCATATTCATACAAATCGAATATTGAGATATTCAAATTTGTACATATAAAATAATGAGATATTCATATTCATACATATTGAATAATGAGATATTCGAATGCATGCAAACCGACTAATGATAATTCGATTGGTACATATCGAATAATGAGATAAATTCACACAAATCTATTAAGTAATTGTCAGGGCCGTAGCCAGGAATTTTCACTTAGGGGGGGCAAGTGCTTACTTGGAGGGGGGCACTATTTTTTTAAAATCAAACAAATAATTACGCATTCATAGAATTTTTTTCCTATTTTTATTAAAAATTTAATAACAAAATAATACTATAATATGAATATACAAAACAAAATAATACTATAATATGCATATACAAAACAAAATATTACTATAATAGAATACGGCGATTTTTATTTTTAAATTTTAATATAAATGAACTAAAAGATAAATTCTGCGTTATTCTTTTTTCATACGCCATTAATACAATTTTGTTTACGTTTATCCTTCATAGACTCTACTGCTCGATAAAACTCTCCTTAATGTAGAGAACGAGGCCTCACAAGAAGCCATTGATATCCCAATGATTATCGCTGCTGAGTAGCATTTATATAATTCTTTAAATGCATGATTATATATTTTTTTATACATAATATGTAAGATATTTTCAAAATTATGATTTTCTTTAGCTTCCGAGGCTAGCAATCCTTTTGCTATCTTCATTTCATGATGCAGTGTTTCCATATTTAAGTTTAACAGGGATTTTAATGGGGACATTTTATCTGATAAAGAATAATCAGGGTCAAGGGGGGACAATGTATTAAAAGATGAAAAAAGATTAAAATCATCTTTTGTAAATCGATCCACAAAATTATCTATAATTTCATAATATATCCTTTTTAAAGAACTCCAATTGGAGTCTTTTTCACAATCGAATTCTAGTTTGCTATCAACTAAAAAATCTTGGAAATCCGTGATGATTTTTGGGGAGTAAGATTAAATTTTGATAATAGTTTTTCAGGCTTAATCATAATCAAAGCAAAAGAATTATCACTTCTTTTATTTTTTAATATATTGATAGTAGAATCAATACAATTTTTAGCACCCACTAGATTAGTACCTACTGATTGTAGATACTTATTTAGTGGATCTTAATATCTCATAAATTATGATGGCTAATATAATGCAATTTATATTAATACATTGAGATAAAAGACCAGAGGCTTCGACTGAATCATGAATTGAAACCTCTGAATTAAGAGTTCTATTAGAAAAGTAAAATAATACTTCACCAATAGCCTCAAAATTCTTATAAATAATGCAAGATGTTTCCAAATGACCAATCCACCTATGGTCTAAAAGTCTCTTATGGGTGTGGCCTGTAGGGGAGACCGGGGTAAAACGATAGGCATTTTGCATATTTACCATAAAAATTTTAAACAAGAGTCAAACACAACAAATTATAGATTAATGTGTAGCCCCATCTCTCTTCTACAAGATAAAAAAAAGTGTAGCCCTCTACCTATAATATTTTAGGAGCTATGATTAGTTATGTAAAACTACTCATTTTCATAAGCACTAGGGTAAAGTGGTTAAAATAATATTTGACACATATATATTGTTTTATTTAACAAATATTACAAATTTAAGATTTATTTATGATTTTTATTTAAAAACTAATCGATACAATAAGGACATGTAAAATAATTATCATAATTAGCACATTTAGAATGTGCCCATTCAAGGCACATTGTACATTTTAGCCATTCATCGCCCTCGCGACTATTTTTATATTTATTACAAATAACACATACACAATTATTTTTTGATATCTTTTTTTTCTCTGAATTAATAATTTTTTTTTATAAGGTGTAGATGTTAATATTTCTGAATTCTTTTTTTTAGATATTTTATCCGATGAAATATTGAATAATTTTGGAATAGGTATTATAGATGAAGGATTGAATACTTTATTATAATTTTTTGAGCATGATGGTAACATATCATGATAAGGTTCATCAATATCATCTGGAACAGTTCAATAATATAGATAAATCACTATCATTATTTTGAGTCACTGTAATATTTTCATCATTATTTTCAAATTCAATATTTGAGTTAGCATTTGAATTATTACAGCAGATATAATCTTGTTCTGTAAATATATTTGGGTTTAAAGGAAATATGCCACATGCTAAGAATCCATTTAATATATTATTTGATGTCACTGCCCTTGGTATTTCATTTTTTAACACTCCTGGAATATCATAAATCTGAAATTGTTGCCCCACATGATTTTTAGATTGAGCATTATTAAAATTATGAAATACAATATAATTTCAATTGAGCATTTTTATTAAAGTTACCAAATTAATAATATTTAGATTGAGTATTATTAAAATTATGAAATACAATATAATTTCAATTGAGCATTTTTATTAAAGTTACCAAATTAATATTGATATTTAGATTGAGCATTATTAAAATTATGAAATACAATATAATTTCAATTGAGCATTTTTATTAAAGTTACCAAATTAATATTGATATTTAAATTGAGTTATTAAAATTATGAAATACAATATAATACAAACAATATAATTTAATTACTTGTTTAGGCGTTAATCCCATAAATGACCTACTTGCTTCTAATATGTAGTCACACAATCTAGATTCTTCTTCATTTGTAAATATTTGTTTATGATGATCTGAACTTTTAATACCAATTTTACATCTCCTTCTCAACGTTGTATAAGGTATGTTAAATTTTTTAGCAGACAAATTTAATGAAGTATTATTTGTTATTTTATATTTTATGGCTTCATTTATTATATTTACATCTCTGTATATGGTTTTTCTTTTATAATTTCTCATTATTTGGTTGATGCAATAAAAATTATAATGAAAAATTAATGTGAATAATTTTATATTTTAACCGTTTTACCCATAACAGCTTTACCCCTAGGTGACATATATTATAAATATCGTTATTGCGTGACTTCTAATATAGCTAAAGATGTCAGATAAATTTTATTTTATAGCTAATACATTAAGGAACATGTGTGTCAAATTTTGAATCCTGAGGATATGTAAATTTTACTAAAAGCAAAATATACTAGAGAATGATTTTTATATTTTTTGGGTAAAAAACAGTTTTTTGACAAAATATATAAAACCAGGTAAGTTTTTTAAAAGATGAACATAGGTAAGAAATTAGATATAAAAATACATCTTCACACCAAATTTAAGGTCTTTATACTCAATGGTTAAAAAGTTATTCGCGTTAACATTGTTACCCCGTCAATCGCTTTACCCCGGTCTCCCCTACATCACCACAGATTCAAAACGAAGTAATATCCATTATGGCAGATATGGTGCTTGAACATATTTCAGACAAATATAATAAAAGCAAGATGCCTTTTTTTGTCTTAAGGCTGATGAGACAAAAGATGCTTCAGGTTGTGAAAACCTGAGCATAATAATTCGCTATATTTTTTCTGGAGAAATCCAAGAAAATTTAATAGGAATCATTAATTTAGAGTGTCTTTCTGCTGAAAGCATTACAGATTGCATTTTAAAGTAACTTAATGATCTAAATATTAATTCAGCTAATATAATAAGCCAGGCATATGATGGTGCAAACGTTATGTCTGGCCGAAATGGAGGAGTGCAAACACTTCTTCAAAAAAAATTAATAAAAATGTTCCTTTTATCATTGCTACAACCATAAGTTGCATCTTGTGGTTCAAAATTGTTATAATAATATTGTTATTATTTCTAATTTTTTTAATTTATCAATTGCATTGTATAATTTTTTTCAGGCGTTTTAACGTATCCTGTAAATATAGGGGAGATCGGGGTAAAGCGATTGACGGGGTAACAAAGTTAACGCGAATAACTTTTTAACCATTGAGTATAAAGACCTTAAATTTGGTGTGAAGATGTATTTTTATATCTAATTTCTTACCTATGTTCATCTTTTAAAAAACTTACCTGGTTTTATATATTTTGTCAAAAAACTGTTTTTTACCCAAAAAATATAAAAATTATTCTCTAGTATATTTTGCTTTTAGTAAAATTTACATATCCTCAGGATTCAAAATTTGGCACACATGTTCCTTAATGTATTAGCTATAAAATAAAATTTATCTGGCATCTTTAGCTATATTAGAAGTCACGCAATAACGATATTTATAATATATGTCACCTAGGGGTAAAGCTGTTATGGGTAAAACGGTTAAAATATAAAATTATTCACATTAATTTTTCATTAATTTATTTATTATAATTTTTATTGTATCAACCAAATAATGAGAAATTATAAAAGAAAAACCATATACAGAGATGTAAATATAATAAATGAAGCCATAAAATATAAAATAACAAATAATACTTCATTAAATTTGTCTGCTAAAAAATTTAACATACCTTATACAACGTTGAAAAGGAGATGTAAAATTGGTATTAAAAGTTCAGATCATCATAAACAAATATTTACAAATGAAGAAGAATCTAGATTGTGTGACTACATATTAGAAGCAAGTAGGTCATTTATGGGATTAACGCCTAAACAAGTAATTAAATTATATTGTTTGTATTATATTGTATTTCATAATTTTAATAACTCAATTTAAATATCAATATTAATTTGGTAACTTTAATAAAAATGCTCAATTGAAATTATATTGTATTTCATAATTTTAATAATGC